ACAAATAATAATAGAAACCAAACGATACAACTAGCTCAACAGTGTGGGTTAACTTCCTGCTGAATTAGATTTCCGAGTAGAAAAATATATAGATCTGTCTATCGATGGATCAATAAATGAATGAGTGGGTAGTTAAGTATGTATGTAGGTAAATAGAAACTGAAATCGTAATTTCTTAACGTCCTATGCAGATACTCTATTTTTGGTTGCTTAAGACATATTTATTCACATGCTATAAGGCTAAATGCAGAGCTCTGTTTAAGAGAAATGAAAGTGACTCGAGCTATGGTCATAGCTGATGCAGTAGAACTTATATTTCAACGTGCATTATACTGTATTATTGATGATTCTGTTCAGATTTAATCTGTAGTGTTGCCATTCCTATTCGAGTTAAAAGGTGTTTGACGTCAGAACATCTGATGCAGGGTTTCCATGGCAATGCTACTGGCAGTCATATCAAATATCATCGTCTGGCTCGTTTTTACAAAGAGATATTTTTCTCCGTCACGGAACTCCTTTTCTATGCAGTGAAGAATTGAACATTTTATTTGAAATATATTTGCACCAAGCTAAATATCAAATTTCTTTCCTTTGTATTTGCGAGTTTAAAATATGATAATTGTTTGGACGAGTTTCGTTTGGATATTTACGTTGTCAATAAAAAGCTTTTTGAGTAATACTCATATTGTCGATATAGTACAGTTTTTATCTGCATGTCAAATAATGCCATTTCAAATAAAGATTTTTTTACCAGCGTTTATAACTTACTGACCACGTTTATTGTTTAGGGTTTTCAGATTATAATTTTTTGCTCTCAACAAACCACAGAAACAGTAGTAGTAGTGCAGGTTAAACATTTCTAAAATGCTTAGATTGTTTGTGTAAGTTTTACCTTTTATGTTTTCTAATTATTCGCTATTTTCCTACAATATCTGCAGCTCTGTTAAAACTGATTTGGAGAAAAAAAAAAGCTTTTCATATCACATCACAACGTAAGCATTCCAACGCTTTAAACCTTTACATATTATTGAAGCTTACCAATTCAAAACTCAAACAGATTTTTGAGGAGTTTCATTACAACGAGTAGTAATTAAACGATACTAGGTTATCCATATGTATTTATGGAACAAAGCATGAAACGTTTTCAAGTATTGTGCAGTAGAGTTTGCTTTGATATAAATGTAGTAAAGAAATTTCGTGTATGAAATTCAGTTCAAGATTTCTTGAGCGTGTGTGGACGAAAGCATTACACACTTCGAAACTCTAGTAAACCTAGCATGCTTATAATGTCTCTTCTCCTTAGTTTCGAGATGATTCAAATCCAGCAGAAATAAATAGAAGCGGTTTTATATTTTTAACATAAAAAAATCCTTCAGAAGAAAATTGAATCAAAAAGAAAAGCAGTCTAGTTTTGTCGTTGTTATCAGGTTTTAACACGTTTTTTGTGCTGTTGAGAGGGAAATTGTGTAGTTCTATTAAGTTAGGCTTTGAAGTTTCTTGATGAGTTGTAGTTCGTGACAAAAACAAGATTTTGTTGAACAAATAAGGAACTGAAAACTGGGAGTAGAAAATGCTTGAACCACATTTATTTTTTCTTCTCTCACTAAAGTATCTTCATCTTCAAAAATATCCAGTTTTTTTAGTTGTTTAGAAATAAACAGATAAAAATGAATCTTGGATCAGATTAAGATAAACTGTTATTTATCTGAATTAAATCTTAGAGAAAGCTGTTTATCTTTTATAGTTTAAATTCAAAATTGAGGAAGACCTTACACTTTAGTTATGTTTAATTACAAGATTGATTTCAAGGAAATATACGTGATAGAGTTTTATTTGTCACTGTGAGAAAATAAATTACGCTTAATTATACCTAAATATAGTTTTTTTATTTACATTTGGTGCCTCACGAGAATTTCTAGTACAGTTTTACCTGTATAGTTGGAGCTTTGATATTTTCATAAATGCATAAATATTTGTAATACTCAGAATTTTCTAATTGTATGAGTCTGGAAAGCAAATCGATATGTCCGTGATGGCTTTCTTATCAATTCAGAAGAATCTAAAAGTAAAAACTGGCTCTATTCAGAACAGCTCAAGGTGATCAACGTCATTCTCAGCTTCTTTCCATATTGCACATGTAAGTACACCATGTTCAGTTAGCGCTAAAATCAAACAGTGTGAGTAAAATAAACAATTTTAGCGACAAAAGTAGTTGTTGTGTTTTCATTAGTGAATAATGATCGAACGTTGCCACATGAATAATCTCAGATTAGACTGCTTCATAGCCCGTCTTTGAAGTCTGCTTCGTTTCTCGTGTGGTCTGGCTGTCTGTGTGGCAAATAAGAACATGTTTTATAACCTGAAATGACAGAGCTTGACTACGAAGTAAAATAAAATATTTTATAAAATTGCATATGTTGTAACTCACAACCCTGTTAGTTACTCCGGTTTGGATTTCACTTAAGATCTGTTTTTTTATGCTTACCTCACCACCAACTTAGAAAGCTTTTCGATCAATAGGAGAATTCATTAGTTAGGCTAGACCCGTAGTAGCCTAAGCTTTATCTCTTTTATATCCGAGGCCGAGCGTAGTGTTGTGGTTAGCTTGTGGAACTATGAATCTTGGGTTTCTCGTTTGCATTCCATTACCGTCAAAAAGAAAAAAACAAATCGATTTTTTGCATTTTGAAGCCGTGGGTTTGTTATAAGTGTGACAGTCAAATCTCACTGTTTAGTAAAACAGGAATAGCGAAAGGATTAGCGGTGGGTGCTGTTGACTAATTACATTCTTTTTAGTCTATCGGATCAGAATTAGGGACGGCTGGCGCAGATAACCATTGAGTAGCTTTGCGCAAATATCCGAAAACAAACAAACAGAAAAATTAATATCTGCATTAAGTTGCCTAAAATGTTATTAAAAATAAAATATTTGAAATTTAACTGTGCGCTAAGAGGAGCTTCTGCGCTTTAAGTTCGGGGATTTTAATCAGTGATGTTAGATTAAAAGAGGATTTTTAACTTTTTTCTTTTATTAACTAACAGGCTCTTATGCACATCACATAAAGATAAACTTACTGATATGATTTTAGTTTGATTTAAATTTTTATCCTATCAGTATATGATTAGTAATAATCAGTTAGAGTTAAATGTTTATCGTACCAACCCAAAACTAGTAAGAGTGAGTGAGTTGTTGTTTAAATATCATCCTACCAGTCTAAGGTTAGTAAGAATGAGTTGTGGTTTAAATATTATCTTACCTGTCTAAGGTTAATAAGAATGAGTGAGTTGTTGTTTAAATATTATCCTACCAGTCTAAGGTTAGTAAGAATGAGTTGTGGGTTAAATATTATCTTACCAGTCTAAGGTTAGTAAGAATGAGTTGTGGGTTAAATATTATCTTACCAGTCTAAGGTTAGTAAGAATGAGTTGTGGGTTAAATATTATCTTACCTATCTAAGGTTAGTAAGAATGAGTTGTGGGTTAAATATTATCTTACCAGTCTAAGGTTAGTAAGAATGAGTTGTTGTTTAAATATCATCCTACCAGTCTAAGGTTAGTAAGAATGAGCTGTGGGTTAAATATTATCTTACCAGTCTAAGGTTAGTAAGAATGAGTTGTGGGTTAAATATTATCTTACCAGTCTAAGGTTAGTAAGAATGAGTTGTAGTTTAAATATCATCCTACCAGTCTAAAGTTAGTAAGAATGAGTTGTGGGTTAAATATTATCTTACCTATCTAAGGTTAGTAAGAATGAGTTGTGGTTTAGATATTATCTTACCAGTCTAAGGTTAGTAAGAATGAGTTGTGGTTTAAATATTATCTTACCAGTCCAAGGTTAGTAAGAATATGTTGTGGTTTAAATATTATCTTACCTGTCTAAGGTTAGTAAGAATGAGTTGTGGTTTAAGTATTATCTTACCTGTCTAAGGTTAGTAAGAATGAGTTGTGGGTTAAATATTATCTTACCTGTCTAAGGTTAGTAAGAATGAGTTGTGGGTTAAATATTATCTTACCAGTCTAAGGTTAGTAAGAATGAGTTGTGGTTTAAATATTATCTTACCAGTCTAAGACTGATAAGAATGAGTTGTGGGTTAAATATTATCTTACCAGTCTAAGGTTAGTAAGAATGAGTTCTGGTTTGAATATTATCTTACCAGTCTAAGGTTAGTAAGAATGAGTTGTGGTTTAATATTACACTACCAGTTTACGATTAGTGAACGGACATAGAATGTATTGGCATTCAATTATATGCAAAATATCTTTATCATTTTTTGGTTTAGTGTGGTTTCAAAAATAACTGCAAATATAGGAATTCTTCGTCATTAAAGGTAAAACAGTTAAAGTGTTTCTTTATTTCGGTATAGAAAGGTATGTTACTTATATTGTACTGTTCCTAAGTAGCTGCCGATTGCTCGACTTGTATCCTCACAGGTTATATCCTCACGCATGTTAAAAAGGTGCTCGTTATTTCACACATTGAGTCATATCGGAACATCATTAATCACACAACACTTTAATTATGTGAAAACACCAACTTTAATGGCTTAGCGGTTAGCTTCATCGAACTGTGAATCCGAGAGTTCATGGTTCGAGGCCCACTGTCACGAAAACGCTCTCGCACTCTTGGGTCATGGGTGCTCTATAAGAGTGACAGTGAAATCTCATCATTTGTCAGACAAGCGTAGTCCAAGAGATTAACAGCATCATGCTACTTCCAACGAGTCTCTTCAATCAAAGTCACGTTTCATCTATTAAGCCTAGTTTTTTATTTTAGGTTCACCAACTAAAAGCAGTTTACAACATAATATTAAATAGATAGTATATGAAGTATATACGCGCATCAACTTCACATTCCTGCTTTATAAAAGAAACATTTTTGTGCTTTTATTAATAGTTCATAGCAAGAAATGGAAGACTTTCTTTAAGATTATCGAGTTTAAAAGGGTGAAATCTCAAAAATAAGTTGCAGTTATGCATATTTATTACGATTGTTGTTGTAGGCACCACTTTAAGTGCTCGCAAGAATGATTCCACCTAGAAATATAGACGAGCTACTTCTCAGGTTACGGAAATTTGCTCCAGAAGAATCCGTGGCAGACACTTCAGCCCGGGCGGTAACCATGGCTGGTAACAGCGGCGCTGTAAGTGCTCCACCCGGGATTGCTAGTGTTTCCGGAGCAACGACAGTGGGATCTAACATCACTTCTGTTCCGGAGGAAAATTTCGGCGAAAAAATGCTTCACAAAATAATGGATAAGACACATCGTGAGTATGAATAAATATATCTCTTCATAAATGTATTGTTAGTGTATAGAGCTAGATCTTATACCATTAAACGCTTTTTTAACATGGTGAATCAGATCTTCCCTGAGTAGCCTGACATAATAAACTCTAACTTTATTATCTAGAATTATATTTTCCTTAACACCTTTAAGCACATTTTTTAATACAGTGAACCAGATCTTTCCTGAGTATTCTGGCACCAATAAACTCCCTCTCTTGAATATCTAGAACAAGACTTTCCTTAACACTTTTAAACACCTTTTTTTTAACACGATGAATCAAATATTCCCTGAAATTAATAAAGTTACTCTTACTAGCTAGACATGAATCTTGTCTGACACCAATGAATTTTCTTATTAGTATGTTGAACTAGATCTTTTTTGAGACTGATAAATACCATTATCAATAAATAAATAAATAACGCTATTTTCTTTGTTACCATTAAATTACACTGTAAGTATATATGCATTGTTAGAAATTACACTGAAGTATATATACATTGTTAGCAATTACACTGTAAGTATATATGCATTGTTAGAAATTACACTGAAGTATATATACATTGTTAGCAATTACACTGTAAGTATATATACATTGTTAGAAATTACACTGTAAGTATATATACATTGCTAGAAATTACACTGTAAGTATATATACATTGTTAGAAATTACACTGTAAGTATATATACATTGTTAGAAATTACACTGTAAGTATATATACATTGTTAGAAATTACACTGTAAGTATATATACATTGTTAGAAATTACACTGTAAGTATATATACATTGTTAGACATTTCTTGATTAATATTTTTGTTTAGTAAGATTAATTAGATTTCGTCTAATACTGTAAATGCATTAGCTATAATTTTTTGCCTCTTATAAATGTATTAGAACGTGCGTAAAATATGATCTTCTAATGAAGCATTGAAGACATGCGTTTGAAGAAACTAATATAAAAATGTTTCTGTCTATTATCTATAGTTCCACTCTTTGTCATTATTCTTATCCTGATTGGAATCGCTCTTCTGTTTTTGTGTATCTGTTACTGCTGTCTAAGACGTTGGTGTAGGAGGCGGAAGAAAGACGGAAAGAAAGGCTTGAAAGGAGCAGTAGACTTCAAAAGCGTGCAGCTTTTGGGAAATGCGTACAAGGAAAAGGTGATACTAAAGTTTGAAGAGTCATCCTATTTTAATGTGTGTAGTTCTAAATAAGAATGAAAAAAATTGAAAAATTGGTTTTCACCATATTCATATATTTAATTCAAAATAGTTTTTTTTTGTTCATTTGGACTAGTTTCGACCCGCTTTTAGGAGTCATCATAAGGCTTATTGAAAAATATAAACGTACAGTTATGATTATAAAAGTTTGAAAGAACACCTCTGAGTGTGTTTTGAGACACATTTATTATTTTCTGAAATTCTTATTATTTGACATTGCTGTTACGTTTATAACAAGTGTGTCTTTTCTACAATACCAACACATGATTTGAAACACGCTCAAAGCTGTACACATAAAATGTTATTTTTTACAACAGTATGCTTATCTTGTTCATTAAGCCAAACGACGACTCCTAAAGCGAGTCAAAAGCTGATCCAATAAATCAAACAAAAACAAACAGTTTTTGGATTCAATACATGAATGTAATAAAAACATCATTCTCTTTCGAATTTTTCATTCTAATTCAAAACTTAAGCTCTTATAAGAAATAATGTACGTATGTAGAAGAAACTAAAACTTGTTTATACAAATGTCAAAGTACAAAGTTAAGACTATAGTTCAATACATTATTCTACTAAGGGTACAAGTAAAAACTGATGTTGTACAATAGGGTAACTTATGTTCTCCTATAACAAGGATAAAATTGATGTTATTGTTGATAAGGACAAAACATGCTTATAAAAAAATATACCTAAGCCTCATGTTTGTGTAAGGGTAAGAATAAAAGTAGCTATCGTCATACCCCTGTGCCCAAAGGATGCCGCTTGAGGATTACATAACTATTACGTATTATAAGTACGTGGGGGCTGCATAATTGTTACGTAAAATACAAGGGATGCCGACACCTGTGGGTTATATAACTGTTACGTAAAGAGAGCAATGACGTATACGAAGTGACACCATAGGGCATGTTAGCACGATGAACGCGCAGATAGTTCGCGAGGTAACTACCAGAGAGTGACGTAGATCAACGATCTCAACATGTCATCAACGTCTCTATTTAATTACATATAAATATATTATTTGTATTTTTTACGAAAATATCATGCAATAATTTATATACAATCTCAATGTTTCACTTTATGCACACGATTCATTAGTTAGGCTTTATGGATTAAACATATTTATATGCTACTCTTCTATCCATATAACTATGCTTTTTATTGTGTATAACAGTAAATGAGTTCTTGGCAAAGTATTTCATTTTACACATGTTAACAGTTACTTTATAGTTTTCACTTACATATTACATACGTTTTACAAAGGCTGATAGAGTTTTTATAGATGGATGGTGTTAATATAGGCGGATATTTTTTACTAGGCATATTGCGTACGTCTTACAAAGGCGGACGATGTTTCTATAGGCGGATGACCTTACTAAGGATAGTGCTACTATGGCGAATGGTGTTTCTATACATGGATAGTTAAATGAGATGATGAGCTCATCTTAGGGTGTCTCAACGTCTCTCAACATGAGATTACATCATCAACATTGTAGTCTAGGTTTAATTATGTGTCCTAAAACTTACAAGTAAAACCATTATTTTAATGAGAGAGCTATTAGAACTTTATGTTTAGAAAACTTCGCAAGTTCGTTAATTCTGTTGTTTTCACTTCTCCAATTCATATACATCTGGGTTGTTAATGCCTTGATTAAAGAAATCACTTGGCTTTGA